GAAATCACACAATGATGATCATTTGTATTCAGCCGCAAACATGAGGTGAGAGCGAGCGTAGGCGCAGATCCAGAATGGCGTGTCACGTGTGCTTATACTGCCTATACTGCGTTCATCATAAAATGCATTTTTTATAATTATTTATATATAATATATATGTTAGCAGCAATCTATCTCTTCTCACACTCATGTACCCACGCATACGTGAGCACAGTGATGGATATTTCATCCCCAGCATGCTCTCAAAAGTGCAGCTGACTCAATTGGTATCTTTATGCTCCTTTATCCTTTATCATCCAGCCCAGGAAGCCTCCAGCCGTGGCATTAGTGCAGACTGGGTAGATATGCAGTTTTTGCAATTTTCAGATTAAAGAGATCACCGTTTCCCAGAGCGCAACACTCCCCTTTTGCAGCTATCCATTACGCCGGCCATTCAATTGTAGTGCTTGAGAGGTCAAGGCTCGGGAGAGAGGTTTTATGTAATTTATTCAGTCTTACAGACCCCAAGACACACAATAGCGGTTTTGGCGTCTGCTGCCACTGACAGGAATAAGCCCTTCGTAGCTGCTCGTGCCCCCCTTGGCCGACTGTCTTCACGATGGTTGTGTAAGAACCGTGGGCATGAGGTATGCGAGTCGGGTCTCTTACCAAAGGCAACAGATGGGCACAGGAGGTCAGTCCGTAGCTCTGTGCCCGTTCTATAAGTGGGGAAGCTTGGCTTGAGCGTGCAGAGGGGAGGAGTCAGAGCTCAGGGAGATGAGAACATTCAGCCACCCGTGTAGCCCACACAAGCACTCCAGACATCCGCACTCACACACGTTTTCGGTTCTCTACCTTGGTGGTTTTAGGATGTAAACTCTCCCCACCTGGTTTTCAAAAAGCTCTGTGTGAGGTGATGCAGAATTCAGAAGGTGAGTCATCACCAATCCCGGTTTGCATTAAACACTTTCTGCATTTCAACCCCTCGTCTCTTTGTTGTCCCGCAGGTATGAAGACCCCCTTGAGCCCCACCCAGCTGATAGAAAATGGACAACTGTTCTTCGCCATCCCAGGCTGCGTGGAGGTAAAGGATCCCAGCGACTCTAACGTAGACATGCAGCTCCAGCAGGAGAAGAAGAAGCTGCTCTACTCGCTCTGCGAAGTCTGCAACATCCAGCTGCACTCGGCTGCGCAGGCCCAGGTCCACTACAACGGAAAGTCTCACCTCAAGAGGGTCAAACAGTTGAATAATGGAGAGCTGCCCACAGCAAGCGTCAGCTCGGGTCCTGCTCCTCTGCACTCTCTCAGCAGCAGCGGCAGTCAAGGTAAGACCTCTGTAACCCAGAGGAGAGAATCCTCTGATGCTTTGAGATGACATGCTTTTTTGTGCAGGCGTAAACCTGATGGTAATGCGCCCTGAGTTAGCGTTTGACTCAGAGGGCCCGACATTTCATGTGGCATTTTTAAAGAGTTGTTCTTATTAAAGCCATAGTTCACCCAGAAATTAATATTCTGTCATCATTTCCTTACCCTCATGTCATTTCCAAATCCGTTTGACTTTCTTTTGTGAAATACCAAAGGAGATTTTTTTTTTATAAAGAATATCCTGGCAAGTTTTGGGGATGTCAAACTCCAAAAATGACAAGAGGCCATCATAAAAAGGATCATGAACATAGTCTACTTCTACATATTCACTCTTATTTCCAGTCTTCTTAAAGCCATAGGATTCGTTTGTGTAAAGAACAGACCGCCATTTAAGTCGTTATTCACTGAAAATTCGATTTAATGAGTTTAGTGAACTAATGACTTATTTTGAGTAAATTTTTTTTTTAAAGATTTATTTTTGCCATTTTTGCCTTTATTATGATAGGACATTGTAGAGGAGAGAGGAAGTGAAGTGAGAGAGAGAGAGGGTGGGGGGTGAGATTGGGAAAGATCCTCGAACCGGGATTCGAACTCGGGACGCCCGTAACGCAACGTCGTCACATATCGACACACTGGCCACTAGACTATCGGTGCTGACGAGTTAAATCTTTTTAATGAATCAGTTGATCCAGTTCACAGAACCAACTGGGGTGCGTTTCGCATTCAACGGTGTGGTGTAACAGTATGATATATTGTTGAATAAATCAAGGAGCTCATCAAAAATGTTTCTTGAAACTGCAATAACTCGCACATGCCACGTTGGTTCAACAACATAGAACCGTCAGTAATGATGTCTGGCAAATTTCTTGTTTCTTGCAGGTGGTGGATTAAAAACTTCTGCTAATTAGTTTGAGATTAATTTAATGTCAGATTATTGCTGTAAATAATGAAATGGCATCTGAGGACTATTTTGTTGATAAAAAAAACAATCAATTTAAGTCTGAATGTCTTACTAACAAGAAACTATGCTTGTAAACACAGGTGGAGAGCTGAGTTCCAACAAAACAAGTTTGCGATGCTGTTTGCAAATGTTTGTTGGAACTGGTTTCGGGATACACTGAATTGTTGTACTATGTTGGTAACAACACAACTGTTGTTCGCTAACAATGCTTTTGGGAAACACACCTCTGAATGATTTGTTCTTGAGTTTGGATCACTAATTTGAACTCACAGACTCTGGTCACAGAGGTTACAGTAACAGCTCACTGAATTTATCAGTGAATAATGACTATTTTGGCCTGTTTATCACAAAAAATATTGTATGATATCAGAAGACTCACAATATAGCGCACAAGTTCTGATTTCGGTGGAACTATTATGATGTTTTTTTTTGTTTGTTTTTTTAATTTTTGCAACCTCACTCCTCATTACTTTCATTGTAGTGAAAACAGTGGCCAGGGTACCGTTTTTATTTTACGGAAGAAAAAGTCCATACAGGTTTGGAACAACAATAAATTATGCTGACAACCTTTCATTTCTAAGTAAACTATTCCTTTAATTATTTTTAAATGCAAACAATCATATAAGGTGCCTTCCTTAGGCCACAGGGGTCTTGTTTTGCGGGGCTCAACCCACCTTTCTGTAGTATTTTTTGTTGGAAGCCCTGGTTAATTTCTGCCTCTGGAAGTAGCAGAACCGAGACATGTGCATCATCTTTGTAACCTCTTGGGTGTCTCTGACAAATTCCTGAAGTATGCTTCTCACATGGGCCTTCGAGGATAACTTGTCTCTTTAACAGGCCTGTGGTGGTGCTGGCATGTGTTACTGGTGCAAATGGCAGCACCTGCACTTGACCAGTAAGTGACAATTTATCAGTGTGTTCACAGTCTGGTTGGTGGGTGGAACAAAGCTATTTGCACTGTTGAGACTAAAGATGAACCTGTATTAACAGCTCATTCAGTTTATGAGTAGGAACCACATGCATGCCAGGTTACCTTTATATTTAAATACACACGCTCTTGTTTTGCATGTTACCTGGGAAACTGTTTGGGTTGCACTGGTGGAAGATGGGCAGAGGAAGCGTGAGAAGTTGGATCTGGACTGGCAGGCGAGACTCTGGCTGCCAGCGCAGTGTCAGAGCGGTGGTGACCAAACTTTCTAATGATTGGTGGAAAAGTAGCATATAGCCTACAGACATTAGACAGACTGTGTTAGAGTCCATGGGAAAATTGTTGCCTCTTTTGAAGGGGCGGCCAGAGCAAAATGGAAATTTTTATTCAGTTTGAAGAGCTTATTGCACTATTAGAAGGTCTGCTATGTCATAGTGAATTTCATGACTTTATGAATACTGGTAAAATAATCTGTGTGCTTTCCCTCATGAAGAATCCCAGATATGATTTTTCCCACCATGATGTAACTCTACTATTAAATGTAAAAGTTGTATGTCATAATTTTTGGCCACATACACAGACAGTTTGGGGAATGAAAAAATCTTTATCATTCTGTCTACAGAAGTGTTCATTTTTGTACATGTGATGGTTGCAGCTGTAAACTAGAAACATGAATGTTAGTTTGACATTTGTCGCATGAAATCAGAGGTCCGGCAGGGATGGAAATTTGTCAATATGGGAATTATATTGACTTCTGAGTCACAATGTAAGTTCTTGTGATTTGTTTATGTTGTTTATCTACATTAAATCTTATATTATAAACTATTATATACCATATAAACTATCAAAAGTTTGAAAAATTTATTATTTTATTGAGCAAGGATGCATTAAATTGATCAAAAGTGACAGTAAATAAATTTATAATGTTACAAAAGAATTCTATTTTAAATAGGATAAATGCTGTTCTTATGAACTTTCTATTCATCAAAGAATTTAAAAAAAATGTACCATGGTTTCTACAAAAATAGTAAGCATCACAACTATTTTCAGCAAAATAAGTACTCAACTGTAACAAGAGTTGCAGTTAAAGCTGGTGGTAGAACCTACTGGTGAAAAGTCTGATATTAAAAACTATTAATGTCAAGACACTTATCTCTGTTTCTGTGATTGTTTTTTTTTTCGTAGCATAAGCATAGCTCTTCAATCCATAGCTTTTCTATCCAAAATAGTGATGTCATTGCATTTGTAAGTAGTTGTTCGGTTCAGTTTTCTATTGACTGTGCATATTTAATATGCAGTTGTCACTACCTGAACTTTTCCATAGTGAATTTGGTTATGAAATGCAGTTTCCACTCTGGTAAATAACCAAGCTCAGTGTGAACAGAACAGGATTAAGCACTCAGTAGAGGTGTGACAAGCATATTCACTTTTCATCTATAACGTGATGTAAATGCATAGTGCATAGTTTGTAAGTGTGTCATCAAATTTTCCACGTGTTTGTCAGATTATGTTTGGCTGGTGGTATGCACGTCAGCCCACATGCGCATGACGATGTGAGAGTGTGAGAGTGATATGCAGGTGCATCTCAATAAATTAGAATGTCGTGGAAAAGTTCATTTATTTCAGTAATTCAACTCAAATTGTGAAACTTGTGTATTAAATAAATTCAATGCACACAGACTGAAGTAGTTTAAGTCTTTGGTTCTTTTAATTGTGATGATTTTGGCTCACATTTTACAAAAACCCACCAATTCACTATCTCAACATATTAGAATATGCTAATCAACTCAAAACACCTGCAAAGGTTTCCTGAGCCTTCAAAATGGTCTCCCAGTTTGGTTCACTAGCTTTGTTTTTAACTATATGAGTGTGTGAAAAGCAGAGATGATGTTTGATCTGCCCCGCACAGCTGCTGCTCCTGCAGGGATGGATGTCTGGGAGTGAAAGCTCACGTGTTTTCATCTTTCTCTCTCTGTGGGAGCGTCTCTGGTGCTCCATGGAGCTTCAGTAAACCGCAATAAGAGCTGCAGGGGTTGGTGCATTTGGGCAGTCATCTGTAAACGCCTCAACTGCCATTTTTAAAGAATAGGTTAGCTAGGGCTAGGCCAAAGAGCCAAAGAAACTCAATATCTTCAGATTTATGCAATATTTTTTGCATTTTTATGAGATTTGCTATGCATTTCAATAGGCTTTTTTTCTGCCTGGAAACCCATTATTTTGTACCAAACAATCATTGTCATGATACACATTAAATATAGTGCTATATTTTACAGCACAAAAAAGTAAATTTTTATATCACTCGTGAAATCATATTGAATTTATTGTGAATATTTGAAATTCTAAATCTGTAATAGAAATATATGCATACTGTATATAAAATAATAATTATTAAATAGTATGTTTTTCATAATACCTAGTGCTGTCAAGCGATTAACCGCATCCAAAATAAACGTTTTTGTTTACATAATATATTTGTGTACTGTTTGTTTATTATGTATATATAAATACACACATTCAGTATATATTTTGAAAATATTTACGTGTATATACATTTATATATTTATATTATTATTTATTATATATTTAATATATAAACAACATATTTTTCTTAAATATATACATGCATGTGTTTGTATTTATACATAATAAATACACACAGTACACACTCATATATTATGTGAACAAAAACATTTATTTTGGATGCGATTAATCACGATTAATTGTTTGACAGCACTAATAATAACATTAACATAAATGTCTTTTGCTGTGTTTGTAAAATGAATTAGCATTCAAATGAATTCATTGAGCGTTTGTGTTTGTGATTGAGGCCGTTTGAGTTGGACAGTGCCTCGCGCTGCAGGCGGTGTCAGTGGCTCTGAATCTTTAAGCAGGCTGCTCATTATTTGCTGTAGTCTGAGCCGGACATATGTAATTACAGCAGGGAGGATGTGCTGCGCTTTACCGTGGTGTCCTGTTGACTGACAGTAGATCAGATCTGCTCAGACCGCTGAGGAAAAAAGCTGTGCTCGCTCCTCACATCTGTGCGCTGACCTTGATGGATTATTGGGAGTGTTTCTGCCAACGTGGCACTTCATTTGCTTACTATATACAGAATACATTTCTGTAGTCCGTGTGTGTGTGAAAGTGCATGTGTGTGTGTGACTGTAGGCCTACATGTGTATCATATTCTTGTTGTGGTCAAAGCAGTAGTGTCCACTAGATGGCAGTGCTATATTCTTAAAAAGAGACATTTTCGTCATTATGGCTTGTTCATTGCAGGTGAAGATGGTAGTATTTTTTTAACTAAGATTAATAATGTTTGTAAACATCATAAAAAAAAGTCAGACTTTGAATTCAAGTCTGGCAGACTCATATTTCCAGGTCCTGTTCCTTTTCACCTTTATTTCCTTTCCATTTCTATTGATGATAAGGTGGCCAAAAAATGACTAATGACGTGAATAAGCCAGACAAATTCACTCTTCCTGCTCTTTGAGTCATCATAGCTTACGCATGTCTGCTCTGATTCTGTCTGAAGTACCTCAGATTAAAACAAACATAAGCTATATACACAGCTGAGTGTGGCACAAATGTAATTCACAGATCAGTTTTTTTTTTTTTTTTTGCATGATATTGTTACCAGCAAAAATACTGAACACTGCTGCCAGATGTGCAAAAATTATACCTGTAGGGGTACAGCAGCTTCTCACTGGGGCACTACTATTAAAGGGACAACTTTTTAAACAATTTAAACAATTACCTTTTTTTTTCTACACTTCTAAGTCTGTATATAGTGCATTATTATTTAATTTTCTGTTTTTCTTCGTGTTATATTCCATCGCTACTGTGTTATTCCTATGTATGTCTGCACTATCATGTATGTTTGCACTATGTCCGTACTTTCTTCTGCACTGGAAGCTTCTGTCTTCAAGTCAAATTCTTTGTGCGTGTAAACATACTTGGTAATAAAACTCCTTCTGACTTCTGAAAAACTTTGTACCCCTTTAGTACCTATAAAGTACTATGACTCTTTTAGGAGTAAATAAGATTAAAAGATGCCCCTTTAAGTGCACTGCCCCAGTGACAAGCTGTTGTACTCCTAAAGATACAATTTTTGCACTTTTTTTTCTGAGATTGAATCTGACCTTTTCATTTCTGATCTGGGTCACTGTCGTGTCTGGAAATAAATTGGAAATGCATCCATTTTTTTGCAGTGTGTACAATGAAGATATTCGGTTTCATTGTGCAGTTTCAGTCAAACTTGACATTCATCATAAATGCATGTATGATTTACCCTTGGCAGAAATCATAAAATATTGTACTGACTTGTTTAATACTGTATTTATTACAGAACTGTGCAAAACATACAGTATTTGCTATATTACACAAGATATTTGCACAGGAACAATAGAAGCTAAAATGTTAGTACTGATGTATAAATTTAAGATAAAGTTATTCTAATTGCATATAATGACAAAATATCATATTAAATGATATTATGAAAATTGTTGAGAACTTTATGATGAACATGTAATGGTTTTGCATGTACATATCATCTTTTAAAAATTTGGGGTCAGTAAGACTTGAAAGAAGGATCTTATATTCACCAAGACTGCATTTATTTGATAAAATTAAATAATTAAATAAATAAAAAGATTGAAATATTTTTGTAACATTGTCCTTGCTTAAAGTATTTTATTTATTCATTTATTTATTCAAAATACAAACCAAAAAATCGCCCATGTGAACAGTCAAGCTGAAATTGTGTGCATTTATGTCGGTTTTAACTCAAAATCCTTCATAATTTGTAAGATTTGCAGAAAGATGCTGACATATAAAGTCAAAGGATGGCCCATTTTGAAATTCGTTATGTGTGAATGTGTTTACAGTGTCCCATCTTTCCTGATTCTGATCATACTTCCATCCATTCTGCTCTATTGAGGTCGTGTATGACTCCATAGAATGCATTATTCAAATTTTACCCTTTTTTACCTTCCGCCCTCATAATTAATCAACATGCAATTTGATGCCAGCCTTCACTGCACATCAGCTTCACCGGCATTGCCAGTGTGAGGTCTTTAATGCATGTGGGTCAGTTTAGGAACCAAACTGGTTTGGTTTGGGCCACATTTAAAAGGTAACGTGAACAACCGAACAAAAAACGCCGGATTTGAGACAAAAATTTAAATGCTCTCACAAATGTGGAACTCATTAGTGAAACTCAAAGTGAACTCATTAGTGAAACTGCTTGAATTATGCAGCATGTTGTTGAATAAATGTCATAAATCATTTGGCGAGTCGTCTGCCGTCTGGTGAAATGTGGTCGCCTCACGGTGATGTAGTCTCAGTTGATGAGTCATGACGTGTGCGTGAGGTACAGCCATCGCCGGAATGAAACTTTAATGGTCTCGGTTGAAAGATTTATATTATTTAGAGCAGCAGGGGTGTGAGGTGGCATTCTCACATGAACGCAACCCTCATCTCAACCTGGGAAAATTAGGCTCTCAGAGTGGAGCTGTGAGAGCATGTTGCCTTGTGGGCTTCCCTCATGAATGTATACTTCAAACACAGTCTTTGCACGTCTTTACACCTGCCATTAACATGCATCTCGTATCTGGATCGTATGTGGATATTCTTTAGCTGGATTACATTTATACCTTAGAATCCAATGCATCTCCAGTGTGATCAAATAGAGTTCTGATCTTATTTACCTGCACAAAATAAAAAGCCCTTCTTCTTTTTCTTTTTAACCTCCTTCTTTACTTTTCTTTTTCTTCTTCTTGCTACTTTTTTAATCTTCTTAACCTTCTTCTCTTTTAACCTTCTTCTTCTTCTTCTTCTTCACCCCTTCATCTTCTTAACAACCTACTTCTTTTTTCTTCTTCTTAACGAACTTCTTCTCCTTTGTTTTTCTTAACAACTTTCTTCTTTCTTTTTAACCACCTTCTTTTTTTCTTCTACTTCTTTACCTTCTCCCTAACCTCCTTGTTCTTCTTTTTAACCTTCTCCTTTTCCTTCACCTTCAACTTCTCCTTCTCCTTCTCCTATTTATCCTCCTCCTTCTCCTTCTCCTCCTCCTCCTCCTCCTCCTCCTCCACCTTCACCTTCACCTTCTCCTTCTCCTTCTCCTTCTCCTCCTTGGTTGCAAGTATAAGCAGTCGTGGCGTGAACAGTGTGTACTTGCCATTTTTTTATTGGGACAAGCCAAGTTAGCAATCCTGAAATCACATCAATGTAAAAATGCTGGTCAAGATGTTGACTTGTCTCTTTTTAAATCATTGGTAGAATTTAGGGTTGCTGTTGAATTTGCATATTGTAAACAAACTGATAATGTGCCTTTTTTCTAAATGAGGAGGGGTGTGAGAGATGCTTTAGTGACACTGAGTGAGTTTGGAAACATGGTTTTTAATTGGTAAAATTGTTGTTTATGTTTTGTTGGGTTTTTTGTGTATTAGCTCTGTAATGTGTTGAGAAATAGTGTAAATTAAAGACGTTTTAAAAGTCTTCTCCTTCACCTCCTTCTTCTCCTTCTCCTTCACCTCCTTCTTCTCCTTCTTCTTCACCTCCTCCTCCTCCTTCTTCTTCTTCTTCTTCTTCTTCTTCTTCACCTTCTTCTTCTCCTCCTTCACCTTCTTTTTCTTCTTCTCCTTCACCTTCTTCGCCTTAATTTATTTTTCTTAACCTTGATCTTAACATCCTCCTCCTTTTCCTTCTTCTTCTTCTTCTTCTCCTCCTCCTTCTTCTTCAGATTCTTCATCTTTAGATTCTTAACCTTCTTCTTTACAATTTTCTTCTTCTTTACTGCTTTCTTTTTCTTAAACTTCTTCTTGATCTTAACCTCCTCCTCCTCCTCCTCCTCCTTCTTCTTCTTCTTCTTCTTCTTCTTCTTCTTCTTCTTCTTCTTCAAATGTGGAATCCATCACTGACAACATTTAAATTCATTGATCTGATTGCAATACATCTTAGGTGCATTTTTACCTTGTTTTTAATGTGGTCAAGCGCATCTGATTGTGAAGTACTGTATACCAGGTGTAGAGTAGGCCACATATGTGCTGTGATTGGAAAAATGGAGGAAATAAAAAATGCCTCCTGTTGCAAAAAACCAAATTATGCAAATGTTCAGATCCAATTTTTCATGTGAGTGCAACACTACATGGACAATTTGCTATTCAAACGCCATCAAACGTGTTTCTGTCGAATAGACAGAGGGAGAGACAACCCACCCAACAGGCGTTTG